AACTCGCGCGCATTGTACGTGAACTACACAATTTGAGTTGAGTTGACGGCATATTCCGTTTCTTGAGAATATTTGAACATTGCGTCATTTTTCTTTCTTATTGCACTCTTTTTCAACTCGATGACAAGTTTTTATAGTGAGATGTGAATGTTTTCAGTGGCATGGCTATCACTCAGCTCACTAGCGCTAGTGACTTCAAGAAGTTCATTTCCGAGCACAGGTATGTTCAAGTTACAGCTCTTTGATCCGTTTTGATCTTCATTAATATTGTTTCCAACCCTCATTAGTTAATATAGTGTCACGCGACACCGATCTTTTCATTTCTCGGTAAATATGGATTGTTTATTCGATTGTGGCCCCTAGGACCAAGCTTGGGAGGAGAGTATTTCCACGAAAAACAAAAAGGATTTTTACTCTAAATTCCCTCATCCTCCAAGGCTTAGTACCATCAATTCTCATGGCGTTTCGTCACGTCATTGGGCGAATTGCGGGATTACCGATTCCACTAACGGCAACCCCCTATCAGGCATAGTTTTTCATGCGAGCACGCGACATATTAGATAAAAGCTCGCCATGTAGCCAAACCTCATACTCGTCCTCGAGGTCATTTGAGTCTTTAAGACTTATGATGAAACTAATCCCTCTCTGAAGTGAAGCATGACGACTGTTCGACTACCAACGGAAATACTTGTGAACGAAACGCCTCTCATTGTTGATTACTGATTGTGAAAAACATGGTGCAGCTTAATTTTCATTAGTAGTAGGTGATTAGTTTCCTCCCACGTACTTAGAGAGAGCGGGGGATTGCATTCAGCTTTACTGGATTAAATTCAAGATTCATTCGTTACATTTCGCCAGCCAATTAAAAAACCGGTCACTGGGCTGGGGCTGGGCAAACCTGGGAGATGAAGTGATGCCATTCCACATCGTACACAATTCTATTGTAGGTATAATTTCGACATCAGGTGCGATACAGTTCCACGTGAACAAGTAAAAAACATTAGTTCCCGTTCCTGGTAGGGCCGAGATGACCATAGCGGGGATTCCAACTGAGATATGCTCATTGGATTCTGAATGGGGTTTCAAGGAATAAGAATACCAACATTTTCTGCTGCAGGTATATCGGCCAACAGAGATAGGTGCGGATTAATATTAGAAGAGCTCCAGTTTCGCGTATATCTCACCTAGCTTCAAGCAAAAGAACACGCCCGAGTTTTTGCTTTCTTAAAACAAATTATAGATCTATTTCATGAGTCTGTTGAGGGGTGGAAAAAGGATAGAGGTTGTAATCGTTCATTTTGTGATCTTTATCGTGTCCTCTGAGCTAACTAAATTACCTTTTCTCACAGGTTATCTATTGTGCACTTCTACGCGCCATGGGCGGCTTCTTGCGAGCAAGTGAACAAGGTTTTAAAGACCTGGAGGTGTTTTTCCTATCGCCATCTATAAAATGTTTTTCGCATGTAGATTCATTTCGCACTCTAGGAGGACGCGAAGTCGATTCCTTCCGTGGGATTTGCATTTATTGATGCAGAGGGTGTAGCAGAAGTTTCTGCAACGCATTCGATCGCAGCTGCTCCACGCGTGGTGTACTTCAAGGTAAGGATTGAATTCCTGCCTCTAGCATTTGAATATGCTTACCCCTGGAGTGTTTTATTCGCATATTATAAACCACCGAAACCTAATTATCACTTACAGGCAGGATGGGAGAGAGATGGAGTCGCCTGTGACGGTTACAAGCCAAGGGAACTAGAGATGTAAGCTAACCAACATTCTTTCGATATTGCAGCAGCACCGCTTAATTCGCAGCCGAAACCTAAAGAGGTATGGTGTTCCTTGTTTATTGGAAATTCTGTATAGATGTACCCTCCCATTGTGCCCTGAAGTCTAGATCTACTTCGACAAAATGTAATCTTTATGGTTTCGCATTGCACCTTACTCCGCCAAAACATTGTGTCGGTGTAATCATATTTCCGGAGCAGAAATTCTTTTCCAGGATTTGAATACTCGATTGAAAAGGCTTATTGAATCTCATCGATTAATGCTGTTTATGAAGGGATCGCCTGACAACCCAAAATGCGGTAAGTTTCACGAGCTAACTTTTGAGTTCTTGAGGTCTTCACTATTTTTCCTATTAATTTTGTGTCATGAATACACTCACATATTTGTTCTTGACGCAAACGTAAACGCCTTTGAAATCAGTGTATCTTATCCAAGCATAGAAAATTTAGTAACTGCGCAATCGTGGATTCATGTTTTACTCAATCTATTTCACGGTTAAGTGTCGTTATTGAAAACCCAATTTGCTCCCCATATCCCTCCACCTTAATTCTCTTAACTTCCACCATAAATGTGGCATGGAGAATTGGTGGGGTCTCATGGTTTTGTGATGGGGGTGGGAGGTTGGTTGGAGGATAGGCAAGGGGAACACTTCTTTGCACCTAACTCAGTACCAAATGCTCGACGTGAACTTGTCTGGAAAATGGATAACATTTCCGATAAATGGAAGGCTGAGCACAAATAATAAAAGTTGTTCCACATATTGTGGTAACATTGGATGATGCTCTTTAAAACACTTGAATTTTAGTTCTTGTGGTTAGTTTAGCTTTGTTTGTTTTTCTGTTTTGCCGAAGGCTGCAGAGTCGTTACTTCCACATTATTCTGCGAGAATCTTCTCTGCCCTCACTTATTTTCGTTCGGTCATCGTAGCCCTAAACGATGGCTCACAACGTTCGCTCACGTTTCTGAACCTTTACTGTCCGATCTGTTCAGCTGATACTTCAGGATTGACCATGCAGAGAAAATAGGTCAATAAATCTGCAGGCAACTATTACGTAGAAGGAAATAGACTGAAATAAGACGCGCTAGCGAGTCGACGTTGTGGAACTTTACTTTGAGGACACTATGTACTTGAGGGACACTCTCGCAAGTCCGATTTTGTTTCGCTCCTATTGCGCTAAACTATTTCAAAACCACCCTCAGAGTTCGAAAAACGCCCCGTTGATTTTTCACATTTTGCCTGAATATATTTTCATGAGCAAGAGCTTACTGAAGAATTATGTGTGTTTAAGGATTCTCGAAGCAAACAGTTGCATTATTGAATGAGATCGGAGCTACATTTGGTTCATTTGATATTCTAAGCGATGAGGAGGTTAGGCAAGGACTCAAGGTGAGCAGAACATATTTTTCTCCCTTGTTGAATCCGTTGTCGTTAAGAATAATCATAGATGAAATACAGAGTACGTAAATAAATATATTTCAGACATATTCAAACTGGCCAACATATCCACAATTGTACTTGGATGGCGAGCTCATTGGAGGCCTTGATGTCATTCGTGAAGAGCTCAAGGATGCTGACTTCGTTGCCAAATTACCGAAAAAGGAGGTGGCGATTTACTTCTCTTAAGGTCACGTGCTTTCAAGAACCTATAACTTTAAGGAGAACGATCTGAATGCCCGGTTGAAGAAACTTATCAACAAGCATAAGTTGATGTTGTTCATGAAAGGTGATCGCTATGAGCCGCAATGTGGTAGGTCCACGTTTCCAGCGTTCATAGCTCTGATTACCTTGTTTAGAGTAACGTTTAGGATTCTCTCGTCAAATAATTCAGCTGCTCGACGGAGTTAAAGCAGATTACGAAACGTTTGACATTCTTAAGGACGAAGAAGTGCGCCAAGGTCTCAAGGTAAGTCCATCGTTTTCCACATTCTCGCAAACTGAATGCAGGCACATTCAAAAAGTTTTGATTATGGCCTTGTGCAAAGCTTTTATGCGATTCATTCTCACTTGAAACAGGGTGAATAATGGTCCAGGAAATCCTCGACGTGGTTCTGTACTGCTCGCATCCATGACGTGGCTCTGTACTGTTCGAGAATAGTGTCGAGAGTGAATGCACGCGCGGAGAGCACAGACGGCTCGCGCGTGGCGAGAGTGAATGTCCGCGCGGAGAGCGTGTCTGAAGGCGAAAATCCTCGACGAGCCGTTGACAAATCCTCAACCGATTTTCACCCTGCCAGAGACTCCCTTCGGATATGTGTACGAGACGAAGTTGCTGTCTGTTTTTTGGTAATCCTGATACATATGTACCTCGTCCAAGAAATCTTGACCTCTTATGCATTTCTAAGTA